AAATAACAAATATATCATAGTAGATTATATTTCTTATTTGTTTTTGAAGTACTTAACTCTCTAATCATTTAGAGTATCGAGACTCATCAAGATTACTTAGTTACAATAAGCTCGGTGATTGTAATACAAAACTAAATTGGTTTAGTCAGCAAACAACTATGCTAAAAAAAGTTTGGTAAGGAACAAAAGATAAGAGAAAGTTAATTTAAGTCATTATTTAATATAAGCTTCAATGTAAAAAAGCTAGCTTTTAACAAATGGATATTGTTATCAAGTAAGAAGCCAAAGAAACAAAGTGAAATAAGAATCTTGTCCCACACGTTCACGAGCATCACATAACGAGTAAAGAACACGTATATTTCTATCTTCATTGGCACAAGTCTTGAAAACCATGACCAAACCAAACACCCCTTAATAATGCCATTGTAGTTCACTTCACAACTATACTATTAGGCAATAATCCTCAAACCCAAACTTCTCATCACTCATTTTATAACAATGACTACTTCCCTTTTTCTCTTTCCAATTCTCCTTGCTGCATTAGCATTGCCACTACAGAAAAGCATAGGAATAGTTGCAATGCACATGCAACTATTACACAATGACCGTGTTGTTATTTATGACCGCACAGATTTCGGGTTCTCTAATTTATCTTTACCTAATGGAAGGTGCCGCAAAAACGAGAAAGAGCTTGCTGTGAAAACGGACTGCACGGCACACTCTGTTGAATACGACGTCGTATCGAATAGTTTCCGCGCGTTGTTTATCCAAACCGATGTTTGGTGCTCCTCTGGTTCAGTTTCACCTAATGGGACATTGGTTCAGACCGGTGGTTTCAATGATGGAGAACGTAAAGTTAGGACATATAGTCCTTGTTCCACATGTGACTGGCAAGAACTTGAAAATGGTCTCGTTGCACGAAGATGGTAATGTTTATAATTGACTTACAGTCAACTGTTATTTCTTGTTTTAATAAAAATGGGATATTTTATCATTCACATGGACTATCTTAATATTGTTAATTTTAAAAATTATTTTATTTTTTATTTGATACGTAGGAAGATAGTACATACGAGATAGAAGGTATCAATTCCATAGATAGTAGAACTATCAAATAATGTAACATTACATCTTGAAATACTACATACAATGGTTATCCTGTCATTCATAAACTTCAAAGATATCTTATCTTATTTAACACAAGACTTTCACTTGTAGATGGATAAGTTAATAATTTTGGTGAAAGTATTTTTAAAAGGTTGTAGTATCTATACACATTACATCATTTACTATTATTTTTCACGAAGAAACAATATTATTTTGTGTTTATAGAATTTTTATTTTTAATTTGGTGATATTTTTAATTACTTTACAATTCTGATGTCTCTATATTTTTTCTTCTAGGTACGCCACCAATCACAAGCTACCGGACGGTGGGCAAATAATAATCGGCGGAAGAAGACAATTCAACTACGAGTTTTACCCCAAAACCGAAGCCTCAGCAAAAAACACTTACAGTTTACCATTTTTGGTTCAAACCAATGAACCTAGAATTGAAAACAACCTCTACCCTTTTGTTTTCCTCAACGTGGATGGCAATCTTTTCATCTTCGCCAACAACAAAGCAATCTTATTCAACTATACCAATAACATTGTCGTCAAAACTTTCCCACAGATTCCAGGTGGTGATCCCAGATCTTATCCCAGTTCTGGTTCCGCTGTGTTATTACCATTAAAACATTTGCAAGCTGCAGTTATAGAAGCTGAGGTTTTGGTTTGTGGTGGAGCTCCAAAAGGGTCTTTTGAACAAGCATCAAAGGGTCATTTTATTGAAGCGTTGAATACTTGTGCTCGGGTTAAAGTAACTGATCCTAACCCAAATTGGGTTATGGAGACAATGCCTGGTGGTAGAGTTATGAGTGATATGGTGATGCTTCCTAATGGTAATGTTTTGATTGTTAATGGCGCAGGTTCGGGTACTGCAGGATGGAGATATGGGCGGAACCCTGTTTTGAACCCGTTTCTATATAAAACAAATAGTCCACTTGGGTCACGGTTTGAGTTGCAAAATGCATCTACCATTCCTAGAATGTACCATTCTACAGCTGTTTTGGTTCGCGATGGAAGGGTAAGTTATAACAACACAGTTATTTTCATATTTATATACCCAACAAGGATATATTCATGAAACTTTTAAGATTATAAAGTAGTGTTGTAAACATGTGAGTGCTAACAAGATATCACTATGATATATTGATAATAATTTTAAGATTATAGCATAAAGTTGTGCTAAGAAGATATCAGAATGTTTATTGAAACAAAGATACATTGTCCCAAAACTTGTCTTATATTAATGAGAATATGTCATGGTGTCAAATAAAATAATTAAGCATTCATTAATTTTTCAAATTTTGTTTTACTGAAATGAGTGCAGGACATGATGTTTTGGGACATATCTTTGTTCTCTTTGATGTACATAAAACATTCTCCATGTGATTTTTAGTTTAGAAAAAGTTTCAGGGGCTTTTCTAATGTGTACTAATGTTTGGAGTTTTAGAAGAAATAACTTTTTATAGAAAGCTATAACAAACACCCGGTTACCTCATGAAAAAACTTGCTTATTTAAGCATGTGTCTCACTGAGTAAGGATATTTTATACAAAAACTTTGTCCAATGACTCTCATACCAATCATATTAAATAAAAAACAGAAAATATAATAAACATTTAATTTTTTAATTAATATAATATGTTATTATTAATTCATGTTGTTGTATGACTAGAATACACTAAAAAACATTTACCAACTGAAACTTTACCGGTGCAGCCTTTGTTAACATAATATTTTATTATATTTTGAGATTTAATATTGTAAATCTAATAAATATTATTTCATATTATAAATATTATTTCATATTATAAATATTATTTTCTTCGTCCTAAATCCTAAAACTTAACTTTCTCAACAGGTACTAGTTGCTGGAAGCAATCCCAACGTGTATTATAATTTCACAAACGTGATGTTTCCAACAGAGCTAAGTGTAGAAGCCTTTTCTCCTTCATATTTAGAACCTGGCTTTGATAATGTGCGTCCGAGAATAGTGTCTCCTGCTTCACAATCTCAAATTATGTATGGTCAGAAGTTGGAGGTAAAATTTAATGTGAAAGGAGCAGTGTCTCAAAATTTAGTGTTGGTGACTATGTTATCACCACCTTTTACCACACACTCTTATTCAATGAATCAGAGGATGTTGATGTTGGAGCCAAAGAGTGTGAAAAATGTGAATGGAACAACGTACCAAGTTGAAGTCACCACACCTGGTTCACCTATTCTTGCACCACCAGGTTTCTATCTACTATTTGTGGTACACCAAGACATTCCTAGCGAGGGTATTTGGGTCCAAATACAGTGATTTTCATATAATGCTTGTAAACAACAAAACATATATGTACTAGATTATATTCATTACATTATTATTTTGACTTTAATATATAAGAATATGAGAAAAGAAAGTGAGTATTTTACTTCTACTTTACCAGTGTTGTATAAAAAAATAGTATTTTGGTGATTTATCTTTCGATTTCATAATTAATAGGATTAACAGGATCTTCTAACTTCATTCTACAATAGTTATTTTTTCAATATATTACATTTCTGAGTTATTTTCCATTTGTAAACATTAATCTCATTACCGCATCCAAAAACAGATAATCAAAGAAAATACCTAAGTACCAGATTATGAAAAGTTATCAAACCAACACATTGATCGGGATAGATAAAGACATGATTAAGACTTCACTCAGACTGGAAAAAAGGTAAAATAGATAGAATGAATGGGAAAAAATAGTTGAATTTTCTGAGAGAAAACAATATAATGGGTTAATTTATCGGGTTAGAGGATCTCAAGGGTTGACTGAAATGGAATTTGGAAATGAAAATGAGGGGTCTTAATAAAATTGTTAATGGGGTATTGCAGGAGGAAATGACAATATATAGTTATGGTATTAACACATGCTAAAGATAAAATTTAAATAGACTAGATTTTTCACATTTTTCTAAATTAAAATTTAAAAAAAACACATTAAACAAAGTATTAGTGTCAATGGATGATCTTTTCGAAAGGATTTCAAATGTATTCACCAAACTACAAAAATTGTTAAATGGAAATTCTCTGATTTCGGGTTTACTTTCTTTAGCACATTCATAGATTATTTATCGGTTAACAATTTAAATTAAGATTCCATAGTAATAATAATAATACAGTCGTTATTTGCAACACCACAACGCCGCTGCAGGATTAAATGAAGGCTATCCGAATTTCTTAATTTGTGAGTGCATACATAATTCCTTCACAAACAAAAGCAGTTTCCTTTAGTAAATTTCAGTGACCCCAGATATTAAAATTCATTTACTTGCTTTGGTTATTAAAAATCATTTACTTGCTTCTTGGTTATTGAAAATAATGTACTTTACTTTTCAGTTATTAAAAACCAATTACATTTTTAAGAGAATAAATTCTTGAAAACAATTACCATTAAGGGTTACATACACAACAACTACTAGAAGTTCCTTTGATTAAGATACTGAATTTTACAACCACTCCTGACTCCACATACATAACTTGAACAACTGTTTATCATGGCACCAAATTTGAATCAAAACAGTTTCGTAAAGCATTGAAAATATCACTCCTGATATAAAAATTCCGCCCGCGAAATTAAATTAACAAAATTTAAAAAGAAAACACACCATAATTGATGAAACAGAATAAATATTAAAGTTCTAAAAAAATAATTGGCTGAATGGTCACAATAGAAGACAACGATATTGAACTGCAACACCTTAAAAGCAGTAATACATCATTAGTTACACCACGGAAACCGAAAGGGAAACTAGATTTGTAAGGATAAAAAATGTCTTGAAAACATCAATGTGAAATTAAATCATTTATAAATTTTAAAATATGGAAGTATAAAACTTAATTAAAGAGATGTAACTAAACAGTGTGTCAGATAAAATATTTTCAGCACATATATTCTATGTCAGGGATAACTGTAAAAATATTTTTCTCATCATCCAGAACACTGTTTGGGGATTTCAAAATCAAATCACAAATCTAAACACCAAAATATACAATACGTTTTTAAAAAATGAAAAAAAACAATGTACTAATCGATTATAGTAGCCTCAGACCGTCCTAGTTCAAAGTTTTCAACACAAAAACGCAACAATTTGCATTTCAGAAAGTCTCAATATTGTCTGCATCATCGGCTACAAATATAAACGTAATTAGCCGAATACCAGTTCATAAATAAATAAAAATGTAAAAGAAAACATGAAAAAGCACGCAGATGCAATATATTTGTTATCCACGAGTTTAAAAGAAAAACGAAAAAAGTATGCATCAGATCTTCCTATTCAAATGCTGATTCACAGTATTCAAATCAATGTTTGAGTACTCGGCAATTCGAAGATTCATCATTTGGCTGAGTAACTTGAAAGCTTAAAGAAGAGAAAACAAACAAATACAAATGATAAAACCTAGAGAGTGAATAAGAGATGAACGGCGCATATGAATTAGGGTTTAGAGCATCATGAAAAAGGAGTAATGGTTAACCTTATATTTATAGGACAACTTAACGGGGTTTGTTGATTTTGGAACGTAATCGGACGGTTGTGATTTCCGTATTCCAATCTCCTAATTAGGTGGACCACACATTTGGGCCACTCAGCCCAGCCCGTCCTTATTATTTATGAATTACGGCTAAAAATACAAATTGTCACATTATTTTTATTATTAAGGCAAAAACCGAGAAGGTTATTAATTAGAGGAGGGGTAAAATGTTGACATTTTTGGAAAATGAAGGAGACAAAATCAAGAAAAGGTGTTTAAAAAACAACAGAAAAGTTATATATATAGTGAGACTTGTATATTTTTAAAGGTGATAAAAGTATGTACAAACTATAATCCATCACAATTTAAAAAAAAAATCATCTATTAGAACTGATGAATTTAAATGAATAAGTTTCAATTGATAATTTTAGTAATTGATTGATTTGAGTCCATTTAGTATATTCAATGGATATATTCATTTGTATGGATATTCAATTCATCTCAGAAAACAAAAATGACATTTTTTGCTTTTATTTAATATTCTAAAAAATAAAATTCAAGAAAATTCATCTATGATTGTCACTCTCATTTTTACTATTTTATTAAATTGATATTAAATAAAGAAAATGTGTATGTTTTAATATTTAAAGTTTATTTTTAAGTACATAACATATATAAGTACCCTAAAAAAATGTATGCAATGATAATATATGAGTTTTATATATTGTCATTACATCATTTATATTTAATCATCATTAATTTTTCAATAAAAGTAAAACAAATGAATGATAAATTATATATTGATTATGTATAAATTTTTATAATGAATTACTGATAGTACATAAATATTATAATATATAAGTATTTGTTAAAAACTTTACATGTAGTACCCTAAACGTCACATGCTTATAAAATATTGAAAAAAATATTGTTTTTTTCTATAATTTAGAAAATAATTTTAAAAAAATCACTTTTAAAAAAAATGTTTTTTTAAAGGTGCATTTAAAAAAATTCTATTGAGATAATAGTTTTTAAAACAATGGTTTTCTTCAATAGTGTTTTTAGTTTCATTAAAAAAAATCGAATAGGTTGGATATTCATTCATTCAAATCCATGAAAATGAAGTCATAGATAGATTGGATATATTAAAATACATCAATTAAACTTGGATATACATTAATTGGATAACTTCAAATAGGAATGACAACGGGGCGGGTCGGGGTCGGATTTGTGCTCACCCAACCCCGAACCCGAAATCTAAAACCCGAACTCGAATTGAGCGGAGTTAAAATTAATAATATCATCTCCGAACCCGTCGGGTTTTTGGTAACCTGAACCCGACGGGAACCCGAAAAATAAATACATACATCTCTTCAACCAGAATAGAGATTATGGTAGCCAAGGGGTCCAAAATGCTTCTGTTGCTGGCTTTGCAGTATATCGAAATTCATTACCAACAAAATGGGAATTTGCCATGTAAACACTCCTGTGAAAGGCATTGCTATACTTTCCTAAGAATCTAAGTTCCTCCTGCTCAAACTCACACAAACAAACATCACAATCAAAAGGGTTCTCTAATCCTATAATAATGGCTTTGTAATTAAACACAAGGACGGTGTCAATAAAAGACTTCCCAACCCGAGTATCATGGAGATGATTTTGTCTGTGGATGCTGTAATAGGTTTTGTAATGGAGATGATTCTAAACATATAAAAAAAAGTATATACGCATAAGGAAAACATCTTCAGTAATTTTTACAAGAAAGTTTTCACTATGGACGGGTTCGGGGTAGGATACAATATGTACCAAACCCGAACCCAAAATTTAATGTCCGGTAAAACCCGAACCCAATGGTAACGGTTTTAACCCATTAAATTTGAGTTTGGTTCGGACGGGTATCCACACGTTCGATTTTCATTGTCATCCCTAACTTCAAATATTGTTTAGATGAATTTATATGGATTTATGAATGACTTTTTCATCAATCTATTAACATTCAAATCCAAATTCATTTATTTGAGACCCTTATATATTTGTATTCATAATGGAAAGACAACTTTACCTTTAAAACTAAAAAAATATCACTCTCCTCTTCCGTTGGAGACGATTCTGGCCCTTATAGGTTATTTCTACCCGTTCTCAAAAAATAAATAAATAGGGAAAGGAGAAGGCCACCAAACTTTCTCATTCTCTTTCCCAAAAGTTATTTTCATATTATTTTTTGTTGTTGATATAACCAATAATGAGAAGTAACTAATTTATTTCCGTATAACTGCAAATTCCAATAAATAATGTTCGCATAAATTAAATCATTAACCTTTTGATTTACTAACAATCTAGTGCGATCTTATAATTAGATTCACGTTTAGGAAAAAGGAGAAAAAGTACATTCTTAATCAATTGAAAGATGTAAATAAGATTATGCTATAGGAATAATAATAATAATAAGATAACATTATGATTGTATTTTAACCGATTCATAAAGATGTTCAAGATTTTTATTTCAATAATTTATATTTACGATAAGGCTATTGAGATTTATAAAAGCTTAATAATCCAAAATAAATATAAACTCTAAATATGTTATGTGGAATTTATATTCAAAATTTCTCCTGAATATTCTAACAAATATTTGAACATATTTAAAACATTAAAATTGGATGAGATATTTACTTAAAACATTGTTAAGATATTATTATGCTCATACTCGAATACACCATTTCAAATACATATATTTTCTCAATTAAACACTAAAAATCAATTTAATATCACAAATAAATTGATTTTTCAGTATGTGTTACACATTGGACCATATCCTAGTATAGGTTTTGTTACGAAACACTATCAAATAAATTGACATTAGCATTCCATAAAGTGACACCAGATTAGTGTTTTTGTTGAAATTATTGAAACACGGCTTGATAAATATTTGGATGTATGGGAATCAGATTTAAACTCAGAATACGTGGAGATTAAATTCGGGGGTATTTTTAAGGGGATTGAAAAAAATTACTTTCCTGAAATTAAAAAACAGGGAAAAGTTACATACACACACCTAACTTGTGCCATCTATTTTACATTTTAGTTATATATGGATAAATGAAATTTGAATTGATTTTAATGAAATTTGAATAGATTTAAATGAAATTTGAATAGATTTAAATGAAATTTGAATTGATTTAAATGAAAAATACTTTATATATTATAAAATATTCATAATAAAAATTATTTATAAGACTTAATTAAAATGGAGTTCAAATTACTTCGAAAATCAAATCGTGTTTAAATATCACAAAGATAAATTTCATTGAATTTTGTTAATTTTACTCCTTTTATCTGATTGATATATTACTAAAGACAAATTGTTAATGTATTTCAAACCAAATCCTAATTTGATGAAAATTATGATGTTTTTGGTACAAAACTTTTTTACTATGGTGGTGAAAATATAATCTCATTAAAAAAAACCACTTTCCTAATTAAAACTCCAACAATTAACTTACGTATGAAAATTTTGTCAAATGATTCAATAGTAAAAAAACTTTAGTGGAAATGAATTCAACACGTCATATTTAAAGACAAATATATTTATATTTATTGATACTATAATTTATGACAAAATTTTAATTAGAATTAAAATTTTAACGTGTTATCAAGATTTTAATCTTTCTCCCTAAACTAACTAGTGTATGAAAGCATTGAAAAATGATGCACAAATCAACATTCTCTCTATTTTATTATCACTAGTGATGCCATAATTGTAAAGGCGTCTTACCTGCTACGAAATGAAAATTGAAATAATATTCCTAAAAATGTAATATATATACCCTATAAATATTTATATAATTAATGAGGAGTAATTCACTTACTTCAAGAGTAATTGAAAAAAACATACTTAACAGTTTAGCTATCCAATCTTGAAAAATCCAATGATTTAGATGTACTTATCAATTCAAACCATTAGATTTCACAAGAATAAATAATCATGATATTAAATAAATTCTTAGAATAAGTGAGGTTACTTAACATGTTTGGATTTGGAATGAATTACATGATTATTAGCCTACAAAATAATGTATAGACAAAAGAAAAGGAAATAACCGCGTTCCAACTAACGTTGACACGCAAAGCAAAGTTCATTTCATTACATAGAAAATAACAAATGACTTAGAAACACACAACCACATCATCATCTTCGTCGTCCAAACACAACACTTTTCAACTCATAATATTGTTCCTCTAATTATTACTTCATCACCACCGTTTGATTTGCATCACTTTTTTTGACTCTCACACCCCACACAAACTCAAATACTCTCTCTCTCTCTCTCTCTCTTCATTCTAACGCTTACCCTTCTTTGCTGTTTTCATAAAGTTTCAGTCTTTGTCACCCTCCTGCTACAAAGATAGGTTTTTTTCTTCTTCTTATGAACAGGTACCCAAGATACTCTCTTTAGTTTATTCTGTTTTAGTGGAAGCTTTTATATTTTCCGTTCATTTGTTTTGCAATTCTATTAAACTATACCAACTGAGTTTCAGGGATTTAGGTTTTTTCCCCTTCATGTTAGTATTTTCATTATTTTGATTTATCATTGTTTTGTGTTTATGATTAATTGATTGATATTTCTGGGCATTGTAGCTGAGTCAATGGAAGATGATCAAAAAACTAGTTGTGATGTATTTGGGACACCCTCAGTAGCAGTTTCTAGACAAACAAACCGTTTTAATGCTCTCAATCAAATGGGTATTCCACCCTCTCACCCTAATACTAATATTTCGCCTTCAAGTTCAAACCTTTATCCCCAATTTATGGCCTCACAACCCCAGAGATTGCGTTCTCCGAATCCGAACCATGGGACAGGGTCATCATCCCATTCTAGGTCTTTGTCTCAACCCTCATTTTTTTCTTTGGATTCCTTGCCCCCTTTGAGTCCTTCGCCTTTTCAACCATCAACCGCTGCAACTA